CAGGGGGCGCCGGCCGTAGGCGGTCGCGGCTCCAAGCCCTGTTGGCGCGCGGTGCCTTGTGCGCAAACCTGCCTCGTACGGAACTGCGAGGACTCGTGCGAAAAGACTGAAAAACAAACAAATAAAAAAAACAACCAAGCAAACAGAACAAAAAACCACCACAAACCTTTAAAAATTTCCTTTCCTGAGCTGTTGGAGAGTTTGTGGCTCATTTGAGAACATAATATTCCTTCGGGGGAAATTGTAACCTTAACTGATGAGGCCTTACAAGGAGCGTGGTGCTCGGGTGGTGGTGCGCGGGGCCCCCTTCCGGCGGTTCGTTGGCTTCCGGCTACGGTGGTCTCGCTACCAGCCCTTCTCGGACGGCCGCGGCGGTGCCACGGCACTGCCCCTCTTCCTGCAGCTCTGTGAGCGGGCGCGAGCCTGGAAATGGGGCGCAGGGAGCGCGGAAGCCAGCCACGGGCTCGGGCCAGGGGCTGGTTGCAGGGGTTTGCAGGGTACGAGGCAGAGAAGCACCTTGGGTGCCAAACGTGGAAGCCAAAACCCAGCAGGTGAACCGCGGTCGCAGTTGTAACATCCTGGCGAAGGACCGCTGTTAATTAAAAAGGAAATGATCGTTAGTATTAAGTCCCACGTTTGCTTCTCATCCCAAAATACCAGGAATTTAATATAGAAACGTGAGCCAACGCTGTATCATTTCCACCCCGAAAACGTTTGCTCTTACACAGAAATAGTTCAGCTATTTCTGGCTCCTTTCATACCGTGAGTGTCACCTTTGAATTGAACGTTTCACCATCGGAGAGCAGAAGCCTTCCCTGGTACACGCTCACGGACGCCTTCAAGTTGTGAACAAAGGCTTTCCTCCTTCTCAGACACATTGGAATTCTGGTCTGGTGTTCCCAGCCACATCCTGGGGCCCCCTTTCCTTCACCCACTTCTTCATCAGGGCATCGCCTGGGCTGCAGTGGGAGCGGATCCCCGGCACGGGGCTGGTGCCGGTACCGGCACGACCTCTGCAGCCAGGACCGGCCACCGTGCCGGGCTGCAGATGGAGCCAGCCCCATCTCCCGGCGGGAAGGTGCCAGGAGTTCTCCTCGACCGCAGCTTTTATCCAAATGCTCCGTTCCTTCGGATGCCTGCATTGTGCGGTGCCGCGTGAGCGTCCCGCACGCTGGGGCTGCCTAAGCCCACCCGCGGGCCCTGCCCGTCGCAAGCAGCAAAAATGGTATTTTGTGGTTTCTTGGGAGAATGAGGGGGCTGAGAAAGGGAAGATCCCTTGTTCTGGGATGGTCAAAAAGCTGCACTTTCCTCTTCTGGAGAGCAGAGGTGGTCACTTGCAGGGACTATTTCAGCCTGGCAAGACGGGCAGGACCCACACCGTACCCCAGCCTCACCTCCCTCCTTCCTTTCCCCCTGCGGGCTCTGTCAGCCCCTGGCTCGGGGCGAACCCTTGTCCTCTCTACCTGGTCATCTCTCACGGGAGATCTCTACCATTTCACGTCAAGTGAAACCCCTCTGGGGCTTCCTCCCTCGGTGAAACTCCCCCTACCCGCCTGGATGGCATCACTGAATGTCCTTGGTGCTGGAATTCCTGACCCAGCCGCCAAGGCAAGCGCTGCGACCGCCCATCGGCACGCCGCCTTCACCGTCTCTGTCGCCCTCCGTGGAAAAGACACCTGGGACCGCAGCAGGCTGGGGACTCGCACCCATCAGGCGGAGGGAAACCATTGTCTTCAAACTGGGGAATGAAACTGGAAAATTGGGAGCTTTAAAACTGCCGAGGAGCACGTTGCATGCTTGGCTCCACCAGCGGTGGTGGTGGTGGTGTCTGTCCCAGCCTGCCAGGTTTATCTGGTCACATGGGCCATAAACAAGATGAGGAACTCCTAGAAAGAGTCCAGAGGAGGGCAACTAGGATGGTAAAGGGACTGGAGCATCTCCCCTGTGAGGAAAGGCTGAGGGAGCTGGGCTTGTTCAGCCTGGAGAAGAGAAGGCTGAGAGGGGATCTCATCAACACCTACAAATATCTCAAGGGTGGGGGTCACGAGGACAGAGCCAGACTCTTCCCAGTGGTGCCCAGTGCCAGGACAAGGGGCAATGGGCACAAACTGAAGCAGAAGAGGTTTCAGTTGAACATGAGGAAAAACTTCTCGACTCTGAGGGTGCCTGAGCCCTGGCCCAGGCTGCCCAGGGGGGCTGTGGAGTCTCCTTCTCTGGAGATATTCAACACCCCCCCGGACAAAGTCCTGTGTAACATGCTCTAGGAGAACCTGCTTGAGCAGGGGGGTTGGACTGGGTGATCTCCCGAGGTCCCTTCCAACCCTTGCCATGCTGGGATTCTGTGATTCTGTGACTTTGGTGATGTTTATCATCTAAATCACCGCCTGCGTGTTTGCCTGGGATCGCTAGCAGCCTTCTGAGCAGCCAGGCAGTCCGAGGGCATGAACAGTTTGGCTGGCAAGGTGAAGATACAAGCTCTCAGCTGAGCGCCGAGGCCCGAATTCCCTGCGTGAGATGACGGACTGTCAGTAAACGTCAGCAATCAGCTCGGCGGCGTGCAGCAGGATCAGGATACAGCTTGCGTGCGATGCTTAGCAAGGGGAGATGGGCAAAATGTTTTATCCAAATCTGTGCAAAACAAGGTCATTGCAGCATCTTTGAAGAAAACTTGGTGTCCGTGGGATGCCTCGGTTGTTTCCTTTGTGCCCTCTAAAGGTGTTTGGTCTGGTAAAAAGTACTTATGGTGACAAAGAGTACGTTGGGGCAGGCTTAAATTCCCTGCTGCGGCTCATTCCTAGCAATAAATCGAGACAAATTCACCTTTTTTGCCTTCTGGATGAGCAAGTTGCGGAGTGGAAATACCGGCATCCCGCTGAAGGCGGCTGTGAATGGCTCGGAGCAGGAGTCTGCAGTCCTGATGCATCGCGGAGTGCTTTCTGACGCCAGGTCGCATGAGCTTATAAAATAATTCTCGGCACCAAGGTCTCGATTTGGCACGGACAAGAGGAGGAACCGCTGCTCCCGCGAGGCGAGGACGCTGCTCCTGCCTCGGCCCAAGGCTGAGCCCTGCCCGGGGAGGTGAAAGCAAACACAAGCCTGGGGTTCTCGTCTGCTCTCCTCACGTAGCGCTCCTGGGGTGCTTGGTTTGTGTTTTTAACGTATGAGTAAGAGTCTCCCTGGCAAAGCCGTAGGTTTGGGGTTGGTCAGTCTCTGCAGCATAAAAAGCAAAGGATAACTGGTGTGCAGGTCTCTGCTTTAAGCAAAATGTTTCTGCACTGCGGAGGCGGCACGGAGGTACGACGCAATCCCTGCTAGCTAAGCGTACAGGAGCTGTTCCTCGCAGATCTCCCCCGCCGAATCGGGGGTCGTCGCTAGCCGGTTCCCGAGTCCCAGTGCCGGGTTTGTACTGATGTGTGGGTGCTCGCTGCTTGGGAGGGCCGGCTGGCTCGATGACTTCTGGACGTCTTATTCCCCCCGCTGGGAAAGGAGGGGCCGTACGCTTGCCCTTCTCCGGGAATCGCCGTGCCGGCTAAGTTGACGAGTGCACGCAGTCAACCAACCCGTCTGTAAGCGGGTGCCCCCCTCGGCTCTTTGGGGGATAGAAGCTCCCCTGCCATTCTCTCACAGCACACACAGGGACATCTTTCTAAACTTCTCCCAGCAATCAGTTTGTGCCCTCAAAAATGAGGAGCCAAAGCTCTTGTAAACGTGTTTTAGCTCGTGTAATTGCAGAACGTTCCCCTCCTCGTCTGTCGGTGTAGCAAATTGGTTTTTACTCCTACCGAGCTCCTTAGTTCAATATCTTCCAGCAATGACTTTGCTATTCCTTGATTAGAAGCATCTCCCCTTAGCCGCATATTTCTGTTAGAATGAGGAGTCACGGTAAGTGCTCCAGCGGCGCGCGGGTCCTGCTGTGAGATGTCACCAGTTTAGTCTACTGCAATCATCGTTTAAGCCCGTGTGCTCGTAAAGTGGTGGCTAATTGCCCTGCCTGCAGGGGCACCCCGGGCTTTTCCAAGCACTTAAGCTAGCCAAGGGGTCAAAGACGTAATTTGGACCCGAATCCAGGACTGGCTGATGTGGTCCCGTTTGCAGGATGTATGGATGCGTGTGTATGGGATCTTAAATTTTCTCTAATAGCGATGGTTTCTGTCAGACGAGGTCACGAAAGCCGCTGTTCTAATTAGCGCAGCTCCGCCCGTGCCGATGCGGAGACATAATTTGCACGCCCCTGTGTTTTA